AAAAGTCGTTTATGCATGAATACATGCTAGGTACGTATTTCCTTGCAAAATCTGGTGCTTAGTGTGAGTTTTTTAACGTTCTCGATAGCGTAAAAGTTAACTCAAATTTATATGCAGTTGGAACAGCGCCCCTAGCGGCAAACGTAGGACTCCATACAAATTTCGCACAACAAACTCGCACTAAGCACACTGCCTGCGAGATTCGAACTTTTTATTTATTGCTTATATGGGTGGACGAACCCACAGCCCACCTGGTGTTAAGTGGTTACTGGAGCCCATAGACATCAACGTAAATGCCGTCACCCACCTTGAGATATAAGTTCTAAGGCATCAAGTATAGTTACAACAGCTGCCCCACCCTTCAAATCGAAACGCATTACTGCTTCACGGCAGAAATAGGCAGGGTGGTGGTACCTACCCGCGCGGACTCACAAGAGGTCCTACCACCAGTAAGAACATCACTCGATACGAGCACTTCGGACCTGAGTTCTTCCTTTAGGCCAGGACGACTTCGAGAATCTTGTGAAACTAAAACAAAGTTTCAAGCGGCTATTTCTGAACGCAAGACGTAAATAAACTAATCATGTAAACAAAACCGAACACATAAATCAGCTATATGTATATATACTAATATTACAAAAGTGAAAGTTTGTACGTTTGTAAGTCAATTTTTTTTAGGTTGCAGGTAAACGAGCCTATCGTCCACCATATGGTAAGTGGTTACCATCACTCATTGTCGTCAGCAACAGCGGCCTACTCTTGAGTACCTTACTGGTGGTAGGACCTCTTGTGAGTCCGCGCGGGTAGATACCACCACCCTGCCTGTTTCTGCCGTGAAACAGTAATGCGTTTCGGTTTGAAGGGTGGGACAGCCGTTGTAACTATACTGAGACCTTAGAACTGATATCTCAAGGTGGGTGGCGCATTTACGTCGTAGATATCTATAGGCTCCAGTAACCACTTAACACCAGGTGGGCTGTGAGCTCGTCCACCCCTCTAAGCAATAAAAAAAAAGGAATTAAATGTCAATGTCAGAATGTCAATTACTCACACAAAATAGATAGTTTATAATCTGCATTAACCCTCAAACACATTTATTCTCGTATACTCGTGTGTGTGTTTAACATTTAATAATACCGAAAATCGTAGAGCTGAAGATGCTTAAATCATAAAGGAATTTTAAAGCAATCATGATATCGTACCTCTCCTCTTGCAAAAAGCCGATACAGACTTAAGTTCAGTCATGGTTCGAATACGGAAGCAATTCTCCAGGAGAGGCGGGACTCACCGTTAGAAAATAATTCTCGATAATTCACGGATGCTTTGGAACCTCAGGGACCACATTATCTTTATTTTTGGTATTGAACATGGGCATCTCTGTCATGAAAGACATTCAGGGATGCTTTGGAACCTAAGATCGGACCAGAGAGTTCTCTTTATTTTTGGTAGGTATTGAACGTGGGCATCTCTGTCAGAAAAGAGGCCGTGACAACCATGACATCACACCACTAGCAGAAAATGAACAGACAATTCCTGCGCCCATTACGGCAAAGGAATTTAAACCTAACAGATAACGGTTATTTTTTTTTCCTACCTATGCTGATATCCTTGAGAGGCTATTTCAGCGTTACCCTAGCGTGTAGGTGAGCTCACGGGGCTCAAACCGCAAGTGTTGCTAGCACTGGCCCTAGCAAGAGCAGTGCTTCGCAGAATCTACCACCGGATCGGAAACGCGACCCAATGAGAAGATCCGGCGAGAAACTCAGTGGGCTCTGACTGTTGCCGAAATTGACAAACAAATAAAAATGCAATCGTCCGACCTCTTTAAAGACACAGAGGCATTGCCTTTTTCTTTAATTAAAAAAAAATTTAGCTCGTAAATACTTAGACATTCTGCATATTTCTGCTATAAAGTAATCATATGTTCCAATTTGAAAGGTGGGGTGATTACAAAAAACAATTCGTTTCAAGTCGTATTATGTTTTTTAGAGCTTCCGACTACTACTTAACAACAATTATTTATCTGTGGCCTCTTTATGCCCAGTAAATAGTAATACCCTTTGCCTCTCGTGTATTCAAATGATTAGTTAGGCGGAACATTTGTTGCTCTAAAAATTTGTGTAGGCGCTACAATTTTACAAATTGACAAGATAAAAAAGATTGACAAGTGAATTTGGTAAGTGAACTTAACGATGGCCAGCGACGAACGCGTTCGGATACGCCTTGCCTCGGTTAACAGATACAGAAATGAAGGGATTTTGAGCCCAATTGTCACTTGCTATGATAAATGTATTCTTTTGAATCATAAGCGGTCATCATATTGGTTGGAACACTTAGTCTATGCCCCAAACGAAAACATACCACAAACAAGTCACGGTCACTGTTTAGCGGTCTAGCAACGGTATAATCAATCAAAAATTTTTACCTTTCGTTAATCCTCTGAAATTACCAGACCTTGCGCCGACAGACTTCCACTTTTTCCAAACAACTTCTTTGCAAGGAAAAAAACTAGCACTCTAGAGGCTTTATGTAATGCCTTTGAAGAGTCCGTTGGATCCCATACACCTGAATTCTTCAAGAAGAGCATTGAAATATTACCACTGCACCGGCAGAGACGCATCGATACTAAGGGTACATTTTGATTCACTGATATAAAATGTATTTAAAAAAAAATACAAAACGTGTGGCACTCGGGAACTGCCGCAGTAAAGCTATTGCATAGCATTTTTTATCAACTTATGCAATTATAATTAGACAATGATAATTTAATATTATAACAATAATAATACAAGACCACGCTATGTTAAACATTAATAAAAGCAAAACCTTAACTGTCCCCTTCACACTCATAAGCTAGACCGCGCGAGAGAGAGATGGGCAGACTTTTGATGATGCGCATGCAGTGGGACGTTACGCCACGCGCTTATTCACAAACACTACACAAGCGCAACGTGTGAATGTGTTGAACGCGAGCTACATGGTAGGCGGAGTGAGGGGTGTAAGGTATTTTTCGTTACGGAATTTCATGAATTCGGTCGCCGCGCTTAAGGCCCGCGATAAAAGCTATGCAATAGCTTAATAATTTCAAGTTTCTGTATATTAAAGAGCAACTCCATAGAAAAGACCTAATATTTATAGTGACTATTTTGATTGTAAGTCATTAATCATAGTTAAAATTAATAATCATTCGATCGATCAATAGCTGACAATAAAACACTTGCAGAGATCAAAGCAGGTCAATATGAGAACTCACGACCATAATTCTGTTAAGAGACGACTTCCTTTAGATAGTACGTGTACTTTATTTGATTATACCTTATTTGGTTCTCCACACTGTCCGCCTCTTACCGATCTTTATTCCCAAAAAAGAAGATAACCGAGAGATTTAGGCCAAGATAAGTTTATTCAGCTACAGAACAGTAGTCATCAGTAGTAGGAGATGTATGGAAATGGTAGTGCAAGGTAGAGGGGGAAGAGGACGACCAAAGAAGACATGGATGGAGTGTGTGAATGACGATATGAGATATAGAGGAGTGAGTGTTGAGATGACGGCTGATAGAAGAGAATGGAAGAGAAAAATTCGTTGTGCCGACCCCACCTAGTGGGATAAGGTGGAGAAAAATAAGAAGAAGAACAGTAGTCATCTAATCAATCAGCAAATGTCGTTAACGCGATTTAAGATTTATTTTATTATGTGGTAGCTCGAACGTATTTAAGATGCTGGTCTCTTTGAGATACTAGAACCTCACGTTAGCACCGTCCTTACTTCTGATATAAAGGGCTGAACGCCACTCTTGTTTGAAGCTTCTGTGTCTGACATTGTGTTATCAAAAGGCTTAGATAATCTTTTGAAGCAATCTTCGCTTGGCGAGTAGTAGGCGCAGTGTAGTACTCATTGTTACGAATCAAACGTTGCGACTTTAGTGGTCCTCAAATCCTGCAGGCACTGATTTTTGTAATTGAATACGTACTTGGATACGTATCCACGGCTGATTTCCGTGATGAACAAATAACTTCGTATAGTAAAAAATTATAAATTCGCGTAATAATAATATTATTATTTTAGTTGTGTGCTCGTCCGATTCGACCAATCCAATTCCCGTCCGACATTATAAAATTGCTGGTCGGAAGCAGTCAGGCGTTCCCGATTAAGGAGTAGGGTAGTCGTTATGCAAAACAATAAGATTTCGACCTTAATTATCATGGCCGGTGACAGATTTTAAAACATTCTCACATAAATTTATTGGTTTCCAGTACTTTCCAGTAGCAATTTAACACCTAATGAGCTATGCGCTCGTCATAGGGGTCATTACTTTTGGTACTTTGGTACTTTGGAGGTGATTACTTTAAACCGCCTTGACACACGATTTGATTGTTTAATGACCGACCCGCTATAAACTGAAACTTAACTTACCGGCGACAGAAATAGACAATATGTTAGTAAATATGCGAGAACAATAGATCATTCCATCAATAATATTTCTTTCTGATTCATAGCCATCTGTTCAAAAGCTAGACAGATAAAATTCGTAACATTATATAACATTAAGAAACGCCTTTATAATTTATTGGAGCAAATTTTCGGAAATATATATAGAAGTTACAAAATTATTGCTATTTAACCGAAATTAGCGTATATAGTACCTATGGTTTTAATTAATTAAAATTGATTTAGACCTCCTAAATCGAATGTGTGCTTTATTGTGTAAAAATATTGTATATCAGTTGAGATTGAATAATATAAAGTGTTTTTATTCCATCTAAAAGTGTAATTTATATTTTTTTGTATAGGCCATTTTTATGTCCTTCCAAGCCCAACTCTGCCAGTGTCAGGAAGTTAAAAGATCAGTGACAATAAAAAATTAATATAATAATACAACGGCTCTTTTTTCAGGTTTTATAAAACTATCGGTATCGTATTTTTTAGGCACTCAGCGGTGAATAGGTATGATTCATGTATATCTGTCAAATTTATTAAGTGTGAATGTCAATGTCAATGTCACAAGTTTGAAAAGGCCCTAAAATTAAAACGATTCTGCTATACTCAAAGAAAATTAATTCAATCCCCACCACGAAAACAAAACTTTCACCATGGTACGTTCATCCTATAATCACTGCTCATTGCTGCGGTGCGTGACGCGGCTGCTTACATATTAATAAAACGGTAAATCCGGCAGAGTACGGCAATGTTCGCGAGAGTTACATTCTACCCAACCCTTTTGTACAATGTCTTCATGGAGAAGGTGACCAGTAGACGCTGGTATGACAGAATCGATGACACGGTTATCCTAGGAGCCCTGCCCTTTCAAGGAATGACAAAACAGGTACAAATATTTGGGTAACCTTAATGCCACTAAAAAAAAAACTACTTATTTATTCAGTGATTATAAATAAAATCTGAATGTTTTAAGCTTGGTATTTACACAAACTAACCCGTTAGAGTATGTATTTAATATTCTTGTTGACCCAGTTGATAATGGAAAAGAACTCACTTGGATTTTACATGTGTAAACAATTTATTTTAATACCATTATTAAATACTTTATTACATCCTGTGTTTATTAATAATTCTTAGAACGTAAACAAAAGATCCTGACATTGTTCTGTCTAAAAGTTTTTATTTGATTCCTTTCATAAACTGACTTTATTAGTACAAAATAGATGGATACCATGTTTCAAGGGACTGGCAATAGTATTAAGTTGCCTAAAGACTAGTAACCAGATGAACTGTACAATAATCATAGAATTTTAAAGTCCAAAAAGTTGTTATGATTAGTAGATCGCTCAGTTCCTAGTTAATTGTCAATTTAGTGGATATCACTATATATTTGGTTTTTTATTGCAGTTAAAAGAAGAGGAGAATGTGAAAGGAGTTGTCTCAATGAATGAGACATATGAGCTACAATTGTTCTCTAATGATGCAGAGGTAACATTATTGTAAGATATATTTCAAACCCAAATGGGTAGGTACCACCACTCTGCTGATCCTACCTAACTCATAAATCCCTTATAAACCTGTAGCATAGACCTATTTGTGTGTAGTTTAATGAGGATATCAAAGTATAGACAGGTCTATTATGTAATTCAGAAGAAGCCTTGATCAATTATTTAATTCAGTCTTATCTTTAAAATAGTTGCAAGTTGTATAGCTATATGAAATATATCGCAATTAAAGTTTTAAAATTTAAAATCACTATATCATAATGAAAACAAATATAATAATAATAAAATAGAAATTCCAAGCTACCCAGCACAGGAAATAGTCCAGAATCACAAGGAATTGCATCTCTTGGTATCGTAGGCAAAGACCCAGTTCGGGTTTTTGCTCCGAGGAAGTATGTAGTAGTGTTGTGTAATATATGAAATTGAGAATCAAAATCGTAAAATTGCATAGTAAATATATATATATATATATATATATATATATATATATATATAAAATATAAATGACACATATTTAACAAAATATTATTAAATTGCTAAATATAATAAAGAATACTTGAACAAGAAGAAACTTGAAAATATGTTTTTAATAGAGACTTTGCTATTTTTAGATGCACTCTATGTGACTTTCAGATGGGTCATGTTTCGATAACATCTCACGCTCCAGAACACACAATACAATTTAAATATGTAAATATCTAAAACATCTATCTTGATCATCCTATATCGGGAATGAAATTGTCTAAAATATTTTTTATTCGTGTGAAAATTTAAATATAGTTTCAGATGTTGTTCAAGCTCCTCTATGTTGCTGGTAAACATGCCCGTATTTGTTGGTACAGACTTATCTTTTTCAACCAACTTAAAGTGGTCATCACTCTTCATAAGACTTTAAGACACTTTTCAAATGTACCCTAATAACTAACTGAAACAGATTTATGGTACCACAACACTACATAGGATTGTAGATTGATGGTGTCCTATTTCGAACTGTTGACACAGTATTCTTAATTGCCGATACTTGACTCGATCACAGAGATGGCGAGAACACAAAGTGGAATTCCTACAGTTGGCCACAACAGATATTTTTGAGGCCCCCAATCAAGACAAATTATTCGAAGGAGTCGTGTTTATAAACAGGTAAGATTCTTAATGGTGCTCTATAAAATCCATAATTTGGGGCATACGGTTTCAACAGAACATAATATTTTAAGTAGGAATATTTTTAGAACAATAGAAGCTTTCTTAAAATTATATGCATAAGTAACAAATATGTAGTCCCCTGCAAAAAGACATAGGGAAGCTGTATCGGATGATACAATGAAATCCCGTTTTGTGGCTTACGAGTCTTTATTTTAAATTGTACAATAGTTTGTTTAGAGATTTTTGTATTTTGATAAAATAATGAAGTAAAGAAGCAAGAAAGGTGGATAAAATAATATGAACAAGCGGGGATTTTTCCCTCGTAAAAATTTTATAAGAGACAGATTATGTTAAAATTACAGAGTAGTTAGCTTAAATTTAATTACAGGTTGATTAACTTAGTATAGATTATACACGACACACAGACACGGCAAAGGCGTTAACCGAAGCACTTTTAGGCAAATCGTGACGTTTGTGAATATGGAACACTTCCGGCCCTTCCAGATTCCTGCCGTTAGACAACAAACTGTCGGGAGTCCCTGCCGACGTGGGGCAGATCAACACCGGCACCGTATACGTTCACTGCAAGGCGGGTAGGACGAGGAGCGCCACGCTCGTGGGCTGCTATCTTATGATGGTGAGTCCTTCTGACGGCATATGCAAACTTCATAATCTTTGTTACACCATATTTTGAGTTCGACAATACACGTGTAGGGTGCGGTGTGAGTTTGTTATTTAAAGATTATGTTGCTTAAAAATGTTTATTTTTAAAATATAAAGTAAGTCAATTAAATGTTAATGTTATGAATGCACCGATACGATTTGTGGAAATAAAGTTAACGCGTCACGCGAATTATGCTAACAAAGATGTTCGGTAATAACATCGAACAAAACGTCTACCGGTTTATACCAGTTCATGGACGACGGAATCCATATTCATCCACCTGTACCAATTCTTTTGTGAAGAAATAAGTCTCTTCTCTATTCGCGTCAATTTAGCACACGCGCATCCAATTGTGTTTGCATGTTAACCGTCTATCGACATGGTGGTCTGCCTAGCGCCATGTCTCCGTTCCAGCGTCCTCGTAACTCAAGGACGGTCTGATATGCGTATCTTACTGGATTGATTGGTTTCCTTTCTGATGCATGCTATGTAACAAAGATATTTTGCAGATTTCTCTGTTAGAGTTGCAGTCTCCTTGCTGTAATTTGAAATTATTAGATCTCTTTATTTCCATAGTAAGTGGTCACGACAGTAATGACAGGGACGCAGCCAAGTCCCTGCCTAACCTTAGAATGCTTGAGTACGTATTAAAAAACTTGTCGTTGTCCTAACATTTCATACCAAATCTAGGGGTGCTACCTACGAAATGATTGTAGTCATTTGTACTGACACAGCGGTAGTAAACTATTGTTCACATTAGTGTTTTAAGGGACAACCCGTGTGCGGCAAAACCAATACTTCTACCTCAGACCACCTTCTACAATGAAAAATTATACGTGCTTATGACATAACTGATAGCCGGTTTCCACTTCCAGAAAAACGGTTGGTCACCCCACGAAGCGGTGGAGTACATGAGATCGAGGCGTCCACACATACTTCTGCACACGAAGCAGTGGGAGGCCCTCGATATATTCCACAGACAACACGTGCGGACGTGACCTGCTCCTACCATAAACAATGTAGATAGCGCAATTTTTAACCATAGACAAATCAAGTAACCGAACAAGGTCCGATCGTGATAAAACTCATTGTTTTAATAGTTGCTTGTAATAATAATTTATATCTAGCTCAATTTTAATTAATGTCAGGCGTTATCTCTTCTGTGTGACGTATTAAGTTAATAGGTTATTAAATTAAGAACCGGATATAAAAAAAAAATATTTTATGACAAACGATTAGTGCAACCATAAAGCCAATTAATTTACAGGTACTCTCAAGAATTGAAATACGAAACGCAGTGAACTGAATAGGGTTTGAATTGAAAATCCGAACTAAATTAAGTAAATACGCTTATATTCCAGAAAAAATATGTAGTCTTACAAATTCTATTTATACTCTGGCTCGATCACCGTAGATTTTTTTTCAGTTATGTCAGAATATGTTGATCCAATCGGAAGATAATTAATGGTAGATAAGTTGATTTTGGTTTTAAGCTTAGAACAGTATTAAAACTATCCAATCTCGTGTCTCAAAGTGGAGGAAGAATTCGCATAGGTAGGCAGCGACTTGGCTCTGCCCCTGGCATTGCTGAGGTCCATGGGCGACGGTAACCACTCACCATCTGGTGGGCCGTATGCTAATCTGTCTACAAGGGCAATAAAAAAATGTATTTTGGTACAATGGTACATGGTAAACAGGATTTATGGAAATCATCACAGCTCAAATCTAATAATAAATATAATAATATTTGTGTTTGTTCATTCTGTGAGTCATACCATCCTCCAGTACGGTAGGATGGTATGACTCACAGATCATAGAAACACAGATTATCTGTGGTATGACTTGGAACTTGCGTGTTTTTGCTGCCATATTCATTGACAGATGGTGCGGGAGTAGTTTGAATATGCGCTTGTGTGTCATACATGCGTCAGAGACAGAGGACGAGCCAATTTCACTAGTTTTAAATAAAATAACGCATTGTAATTTTTCTAAATACGTACCTACTTACACACGGCAATCAAACGAATTTTACTAATGTAATATTTAAATTGTTATTATTACTGTGAAACTGTGTTATTGAGACTTGTAAATAGTATATTTTATGCAAAATGAATATTACAAAGTTTATTTAAATAATTGTTTTTTGTCTTTTTTTTACCCAACTTTAACTCAGGTTACTACTCATACTATTTATATCGCTATAGCAAATTGAACCTTATTGCGCCGCTATTGAATAATTTGCTGTTAACGAAGTAATTCGGCCGTCTGGTGTAGTGGTAAGTGACATGGTCACTACACAAGGGGGTCGCGGGTTCGAATCCCGCCAAGGGAAGATATTTATATGATAAATATAAAAATGTCTTTTCCAGGGTTACGGATGTATATTAAATATATGTATGTGTATAATAAAAATCTTACATTTATTTCCGTTATCTGGTACCTGTAACACAAGTTCTTTACGAACTTATCACGGGACCAGTTAACGTTGCAATCACATTGTCCAGAGTACATAAAAAAATAAAGTACCTTCACCAACAAATACTATTCCTAAATAAAGTAGAATTTATTTTTTGCAATATTCTCTACTGATGATTGGGGAAATATTATTTAATAAATGCAAACAAACCATGAAAGTCTATTAAATGTAATTTAAAAAAAAACTGCCATGTCGTTTTTCTAGTCTATGATTTTCCGCTAAAATATTTTTTTCTTTTATTTCTTCATTATAACGTAAGGTTGTATTTTTAATACTGTTATATAATAATATCTTATAAACATTTATCAATTTATTCCAAGATACGGTATTTCGTGGAAATTGTTTAAAAGAAAAACCTTTTTGATCTTTAAACTAAACTTGGTTATATTCGAAATAGAAAATTGAAATTGTAATGGTATTTTTTTTTATCACGCAATAGGGGTACATCTTGTACCGAAAAATGGACTGACTGGCCAGTCAACGTTTTGGCATTGTCAGCATTTTCATACAACACTAGGGATGTAATGTAACACTACCATATTTGGTTAAATAAAACAACAACAAAAAAACATTTAAACTTGTTTTATTACTAATAATAAATTAATCCACATTACAATGTGTCCACAATACGGATCGGGAGGAAAATACATCAATTAATTTTTATGATATCATTTCAATAAAACGTGCATTTATAGCATAATTTTATTAAGTACAATGTCAATTAAATCTCGAAACGTGTTCGAAGTCAAACAAAATGTACGGAATGGTCTCGCGGTCAAAATGTCGAATTAAAAAAAAATCGTCAAACGGTCAAAATAGCACCTAAAAAATAAACAGTTAAAACTACTCGAGAAGTTGGGAGATCGTAAGTTTTAATCAAGTGGTAGTTTAAATTTTTTAAGCGTGGTAACATTTATTGCCTGGCAATATCTAAAATTAACTTTAAAATTAATAATTTCATTAAACAAAGGACGGGAATAAAAGAAAATAAAAAACTTTGCCTAACGTACAAGTTAGAACTGAACTGTCAATAGATTTCATTCAGCAATTATTGCTTACTGTTTAATCACATCTACGCAGCGTTTTGAAATATATTTAAATTCACTCACGTCGTAGAAACCGTAACTAGCAGCTATGCTGAATTTTTCATCTTTGTAAAATGAATTAAAAAAGGGGGAAAAAAATCCTTAAAAATTAACGTAACAACTGTATAATTTTATAGTGATTCTTGTCACTTAAAATAAGCTCATAATTTATTAAAAGGGACGTTACATTTTAAAATAACCGAGCTAATCAAATAAAATGATTTTATTTCTTTTTATTTCCTGATTATACATTGCCCTACATTGAGAGTGTGTTGCCAACAATAAAAGCATCCAAGTTTTATTGGTATTTTTAAATGTATGATTTTACTACATTTTCTTTATTTTGCTTTCGCATATGAACAAATGTTGTTTTTTCAAATAAAAAAACGACTAAAATCATTATGTTTTCAAGTTAAGAAATTACCAGATTTTCTAAAACAGAAGACGAATAAACTTTGCTAACGTCAACTTTAGTTTTATGTCACTAATAAAAACCAAAAAAATATTAAACTAAGGCAAACAATTATACGTGAAGCCGTTACCGAAATACGGATTGAAAACTTCAGTTTGCTGTTGTCGTCAACCTTCTCCCATTTTGACACTAAACAATGTCACACACAAAACAGAAATTTTCAGTTCAGATCTCAGCATCAGCTCTGTTACCGTTCGATCGCTAATGCAACAAGGACGGTTGCTGCGTCACCACCTTCCAATTAAAAACTCAATAAGCGGATAGTATAGGCGATTTCGATTATTATTCTTTTACCATTCCGTAAAACGACAAAAAAAAAGGAACTTATGACTTCTGTGCGTCCGATCTGATGGCCCAGAACTGTCTGATGCCATTGGCGATGCCGACATCGTGGCTGATGATGTAAAACAAGCCTCCCAGTGTTGCAATGGAGATGAGATACACCAGGCCTATGGCAATTTTGGGTAAAATAGGACCAAATATACTAGCGCGCACGTAGTCGACCGCGATCGCTTCCAGGCCCCTGGAAAATATACATTTAAATACATAAATAATCTACAAACGTACTAACTTCTACGAAATAGTATTATAATAACAAAACTGACACTAAAACTGGGTAAATGAATTAATTAAAACTATTTCTACGCTTTAATTATTTACATTTTATTATTTCTTGCCTGCAGCGAAATCTAAATTTCAAGAAATATATTTTTACTAAATTAGACGGTAGTTAGAACAATATTGAAACGTCGAGAACAACGTCAGTCTGTATACTGTAATGCGGGCATTCCCAAAGAGGTCGGTATTGAATTCTTACACTTTTTTATTTTATTGCCCTTGTACGCAGACGAGCATACGGCACAACTGATGGTAAGTGGTTATCGTCGCCCATGGACTTCAACAATGCTAGAAGCAGAGCCAAGCCGCTGCCTACCGTAAAAGGCTTAAGCTATCTTGACCAACCGCAAAGTCGCTGTCGTCTTGGCCTAAATAAAACGCCCCGCGCAAGGACGGGTCTCAGATACGGGTTTCTTATCCAAAGCAAGTTTGAGATCACTTCTACAAAGACAAAGTTTCACACGATCAAAGACCAACTGCCCCACCCTACAAACCAAAATCGACGACTACTTTGCCGTAAAAATACCGGATCGTGTTATATAACCAGGCGGACTGACAATATGCCGTATCAGAACAAAACTCTCTGGCACTTGGCAGGTTTTTAGGAGTATATTGACATTAAACATCGGGTTTTTAATTCAAGTCTTGTCCGTTCACTACAATTCTGTGATAAAAACTGTATAACCTATTTCGCATTCTTGGATTTCATGTTCTTCCAGATCCGCCAGAACGCCCTGCTGACGCCTATGTCGTTAAAGTTCAAATAGAACAGCCCCCCCAGCATGGTGGCTGTTAGGAAGTACACTAATAGCATCATTATCTTCGGTATCACGTGACCGAAGAGTAGGACGCGGATGTACTCCACTACCATAGCTTCCATGCCCCTGGGGATAGGAAAACTGGGATGGGATGTGAAGGGATTAGGTTGCTAAATAAAATAAGTTTTAGACCAAACATTTTTGTGTTTTTAAATTTTTGTTAAATAAAGGACAGTTAAATTTATAACTGGTTAATTTGAACAAAGAAAATACACTTTAGTTCCTTGTTTTTTACATATTGATGTATAAAGAGTACGTCGTAATATATACTAGTAATATAATACGTGTAATATATACTAAATTAGATTAATAGAATATACATTAACAAAACTTAAAAACAATCTTATAAGCCTATACATATAAATATGTGGGTGTTTATAAAAAACAAAATACATACCAGAAACTGTGAGCGGTGATCAGTATCGCCAGGAGAGAGTCGAATAGTTTGTTCGGCATCATGAGGGCTAACGGAATCAATGGGACCAGTGCAGCAGAAACCACTCTCTCAATGACCCAGAGCCTGGAGTGGTCCTCGACCTTCTCCGCTGACCGGCGCACGCAAGACGTACGGAATGAACGAATCTGAAACATTTTTTTTTTTAAATAAGACTCCTGCCAATTTCTGCTTCAATTACTCAGCCATCTCAAACTTTCTTGAATTGTTGAATTTACGTGCAGCGACGTCTGTTGATAACAAACTAAATAGAAACAATTGTAAATCATCTTTTATAGTATGAGGTAGCGCCCTCTGTGAATTGATATTTTAACTACACGTTTCATTTTTTCGTTTCATCGAGTTTGAAATCACACCCGACGATTCTAAAGAAGTTTCACTTCAAAAATAGCTAAAACAATAACCAAATATGTTTCCACAATCAAAATCATATATAGGTAGAAAGTGAACAGAGAAGAGAAATTTAGAAATTTAAGTTACAAAAAAAAGGGTGCGTGTACTTATGTACGCGCGTAAGAAGTTATACTTTATTTTTTTTAATATTAAATAGTTAATAATACATATTTAACGTTAATAATTTAATAATATTTAGTATGAATTATATTAAATAATATTTTTTTCATTTATATTACAAAATAATACATACGGATAGTTAACCTCAATTGTATTGGAGCAATTAGAAAGGCTGATGAGCACGGTTATTTCACAAATGTTTTCTAATATTAATTAGTATTGATTTAAATATTCAATTTAAATCACTTCTGATTATAATTCAGACGCACATATAATATATATTTAAATGACCTTATTAAATCTCAAAAATGTTAGTTTTACTCACAGCATTCAATATGGGCGTCGTTTTAGTATCCTTCATTATATTTCTAATAGGCAATGAGCTGGAGATCATACGTTGTGTAATTGCTGGCTGGGTCGCTAGCCTCATAGCTTGTTGGGTGAACATTCGACTTTGGCATCCTGTAATAAATAGAGATTTTATTATCTTGGTTCAATTACATTGATTGAGTTATTTTTTATTGCCATGGATGGAATAATTAACTCACAACGTAATGATTAGAAGACACCTTAAGCATCTGAACGAAATCAGAGTATCTTAATTGATATAAGTTTGCCTCGTTATTATTCTATAATTATTATAGACATTTTGATTGAATTTTGTGACATTTAATGAGATTCGTGCCATAAATGTAAGCCCCTTATAACTTAGTGTTCTTTTCATTAGTTTGTGTTTTTTTTATGATTGAAGGTGTACTGGTGGCCTGAAGGCCTTTTCAGTTTCACCAGGACAGGAATTCTTTTGTATCTGGGAGGTAGCAAAACAAGAAGCGTAAAGACGAGATAATCTCATGGGCAACAAGCAGTAGCCAAGTTGAATAGTGGTTTTTAGTTCCACTGCCAAACCCCCACAAAAGACTCCAACAGCCCAAAAAATGTACATGGCACTTCACAATGTTCATAATAGGGTGTATTATCAAGATAACACAATTAGTACAACTAATGAGCGGAAATTACAAAAGACCACAATGTATGGTACTTACATTATATGCACTGAGGTTAAAGTTTCATTTATTCCTTAATCACTTAAAACATGAATGACACATTTAGTTGTTACTTTAGTTACTATTATAACTTTGCTTATTCATGCACTGTTTATTCTATTGTTCACATAGTTATGACTAATATAAAGAAATAGTTCCAAACAGCAAAAATAAATATAATAACTCTTAATATATCAAAATATTTAGTATTTTAGTAATATTAACATTTTTTTTGTAGCATCTCATATAAAAAATTGACACAATTCAAAATTTCTTCAATTTCTGACGAAGCATGTTGCGGATAATAACATGTAAAAAATTATAAATAAATAAAAAAATGTCTATCTAGTACTTGATGAAAATATAATTCAAAATTAGCTACTCTCAACAATGGTGAAGTGAATTATTGGAGTGGGGTTACAGTCACCAGCTATCTTCTTTTTAATATTTTTTTTGCCTTCTAATTATATGGCCCATTTGATGGTGAGTGGTTACGATCATTCATGAACCTGAATGACCTGTGCCTAGGGCACAACCACATTACTGTATACTCCAAGCTAGAGCTAGCTTTAGAACATTCAACTAGTACAACTGATTATGATTACTTGGCAAATAATTTTTTTTTTTCCCATTATATTAAATTTTACACATTTTGACCTCGTATAGTGGCATATATTATGAGGCTAAGACTTGTTTAACAGTACTTTATTCTATGCTAGAGTCATACAAAGTACTGACTGCTGGTAGAGTAAATAAATATAAAGGTGATTATTTTTGATTGATTGCTGTCAGGTTTACAAAAGTGAAACAACCTCTTATCTATGATAATACTTCAAACTCATGTATCTTCCCTTCCTCAGGGTTTTGGTAGTATTTTGAAAATTTATCTTTTAATTTAAAAACCTACTTGAAACGTCTCAAAATTTGGATAACAATACATGAGAATGAAGAAATTAATAATATTACGCTTTTTAGCTCGTAGTTTAAAATATTTTTACTATTTATTGAAAATAGTTTTTTTTTATCTTCTGTTGTATATTAAATTATATTACAAACATGAAGAAAATATAACTCCTTTTCAAATATTTTAAATTTAGTTAAAAATCACCAACACAACCTTAAAATGAAACGTAAAATGTAAACAATAACATGAAGATTAGATACAAAATACAAAACGTGTTTTTTTCTCTTGGGGCGATTAAAGAACTCCAACAGTAAACCGGTCTTATCATAGTATTTTAATGTTCATGTGGAAAATCTACAGGCGTTGAAAAAAAAACGATTCAGATTCCTATTATGTAATAATAATGTAAGCGCAATATTAATTAATCTGTTACCTGATGTACGAAGAAACATGGAGAACGCCATAGTTATTTATCGTGTGATATATTACTAAAACTTTTTTATAATAATAAAATATAAATATAACTTTAAAGCCCAACAGAACGAAATCACCAAACCCAACCAAAATTGGAATAAGTCAAAACGTCAGATTCAAAATAATTCAAAATGTCAAATGTTAATTGTTAATTGTTTACGGTTATAGGTAACATGAAGTTGTAGCACACAGGGATAAGTTACCGGTGTACTCGTTTTGAGCGATTTGCCTACGCTAATGTTCAAATTACGGAGGCAGATATAATGTTTTCTAAGGAAATAACTACTAGGAAGACTTAACTATAAAGACCAAGATCGTCTAATTCCTGTTTCAAATTACATAAATACTGATGGTAAAACATGATAAGGTATTCCCGTACAATTAGAGGTCTTTCTGATAGTCGTTAAATTAAAAGATTATGATTCTGACTGTATATATATCTTAGCGTGGTTAGTGTATACTGCATGTAATGAATATGTACATGTTGCGATATTTATTTTAACCCCGTAGGTCCTTAGCTTGTTCATACATATATTACAATCATAGAATTATGCTACATAAACAGGTGAATTTTGATAATTACAGAGCTGAACATTTTAACTAAGGTCAGATCGACTAGAAAGTTGAGTAACCAATGTCGTAAACAATGAAAAAAAATACATCAGGCTGGTCACATCGAAATGGAATGACAATTCATTTTAGAGTCGTGAAATGTGTGTGGGTTTAACAACTTCATAATTTAAAAGATTACTACGAAAAAACAAATCATAATATTACAATGGCCACAACATTAGAAGACAAGTCAATTTGGGAGGATGGCGAGGAAGCTCTCAGTGAGGAAGTTCTTCGCATGCCAACCGATGAAATCGTAAGTCGAACCCGACTTTTGGACAATGAAATCAAAATAATGAAGAGCGAAGTGATGAGGATCTCGCACGAGCTGCAGGCTCAAAATGATAAAATTAAAGAAAACACGGAGAAAATCAAGGTCAATAAGACGCTACCGTATCTCGTATCGAACGTCATTGAACTTTTAGACGTGGATCCGCAAGAGGAGGAAGAAGACGGTGCCGTCGTCGACCTAGACTCACAGCGTAAAGGGAAATGCGCTGTAATCAAGACTTCAACCCGTCAAACATATTTCCTGCCCGTTATCGGCTTGGTAGATGCAGAGAAACTCAAACCAGGAGACTTGGTAGGAGTCAACAAAGACTCTTATTTGATCTTAGAAACGCTCCCAGCGGAGTATGACGCCAGAGTAAAGGCAATGGAGGTAGATGAGAGACCAACTGAACAATACTCAGATATTGGAGGTCTGGATAAACAGATACAGGTAAGAAAGTCAGATTTATTTAATTGTAAATTTATTAATGGTTCTTCTACTTATTTTAAGTATGACGATTTTCAAACTATGATCTTTACAAAATAAGTATTGCTTAGCTTAGGAATGGCACCCTTAAAGGACACTCAAATACTTATTGGGTTTTTTTTATATTATGCGCTTGTTTTTCTGAACAAAATCATAAATAATGATTCTTGTAAACATTGTACATTTTTTTTTATTGCTTAGATGCGTGGACGAGCTCACAGCCCACCTGGTGTTAAGTGGTTACTGGAGCCCATAGACATCCACAACGTAAATGCGTCACCCACCTTGAGATATAAGTTTTAAGGTCTCAAGTATAGTTACAACCGCTGCCCCACCCTTCAAACTGAAACGCATTATTGCTTCACGGTAGAAATAGGCAGGGTGGTGGTACCCACCTGCGCGGACTCACAAGAGTTCCTACCACAGAATTAAAAATTAAAAGAATTAAAAACTCATTCATTTTAATATTGTAAACAATTTCATAACCCTAAATAAACAAAAAATTCAAAGTAATTGAAATTTAATCGTTTTTTATTTTTTTATTTAGGAATTAATTGAAGCTGTAGTTTTGCCTATGACACATAAAGAGAAATTTGTGAATCTCGGCATCCACCCACCCAAAGGAGTTCTTTTATATGGACCTCCTGGTACAGGGAAGACATTGCTGGCGAGAGCTTGCGCTGCTCAAACCAAGTCTACATTTTTGAAGCTGGCTGGTCCACAACTTGTGCAGATGTTCATTGGTATGACAATTTTTTTAAAAAAAACAATATCCTATTTGTTGACACTTCAAATTTTATGATATCTTTCTCATACACTCAGGTGATGGCGCCAAGCTTGTTCGTGACGCATTTGCATTGGCCAAAGAGAAGGCCCCAGCAATCATCTTCATTGATGAACTGGACGCTATTGGTACAAAGCGTTTTGATTCAGAAAAGGCTGGAGACCGTGAGGTGCAGCGTACTATGTTGGAGTTGTTAAACCAGCTTGATGGTTTTAGCTCAACTGCTGACATCAAGGTAACCATAATTTTATAATATACTAGTACAACACCTAAGTAAAGTACTCATTTAAGTACCGTTATCAGAACTGGACTAAATTGAAATGGGGACCACACGGGAAGCGTCAGCTTTCTAATAAAAAAAGAATCATCAAAATTGAAGCACCCATTCAAAAGTTATGAGGTAACAAACATTAACAAAAACATACAGTCGAATTAAGAGCCTCCTTTTTTTTTTAAGTTGGTTAAAAATGGTAAAGATGCACAGTTAGGATTCTCGAATTGCAGATAACAATATGTCTACCAGCACACTCTTTTTACAACTTGGAATTCCCTGATGACGTATTGTGATTCCATATGGGTACTTCCCATCATCCCGTCTGTCTCCGCAGCGAAAAAATAAACGTGGTGCTTAAGATGAATACATTAAATGGTTTTCAGTTATAAGATAGGTGTAACCTCCATTCTCCTCACAGGTCATTGCAGCTACCAATAGAGTGGACATTTTGGACCCTGCTTTGCTCAGATCTGGACGTTTGGACAGAAAAATTGAGTTTCCTCATCCCAATGAAGAAGCCCGAGCTAGAATTATGCAGATCCATTCTCGGTAATGAATTTATGATAAGAAAAAAATATAAAAGAACAAATCTGAATTAAAGTCAATTATTTTTTATCAATTATAACTTATTTATAAAACAGAAAAAATAAGAACATGAATTGAATGTGCTTACGAATTCAAGCTATGCCTCGTAATATATTATTTGATTTTTTTGGTGAACATAGTCAGAAGAAGAACATGGCCCACTTAATTATTAGGATCCAGATATCAAAACAGGATTGTGGCCGTTTACCTCGACGCAAACGCAAGATGCAGGCTTACATATGCTGTATAAAGGCGACAATTTAGGGCTGACGTTTCTGTTAATTCTCAAATCAATTTGTGTTCGGGTTACTATGAACGTGAACTTAGGGCGCGAATTAGAGGCGAGGAGTTTTTACTTTATACAAAATTACAAAAAGTAACATTAAAAAAACAGATTTAAAATAAAGAGTCAGAATCTGCAAACTACTAGACCACATAGGTAACGATACTAAAAACATTTAATGAAACTCGACAATGTAACTGGTACATAAGAAGTGCAGATTCATATTAGCATTTCTGATTTCAGTAAAATGAATGTAAGTCCAGACGTTAATTTCGAAGAGCTGTCGCGTTCGACTGATGATTTCAATGGCGCCCAGTGCAAGGCGGTCTGCGTCGAAGCTGGTATGATAGCGCTGCGACGTTCAGCAACTGCCGTCACTCACGAAGACTTTATGGACGCCATACTGGAGGTCCAGGCTAAGAAAAAGGCCAACCTTAGCTATTATGCTTAGTTGTATTAAATATAAATAATTTGTATAAATAAAAATTTACTTCAAATGAAGTGTTTTTATGGATATTGCAATGTTTATCGCAATATTTTCAAATAGCAAACTCGACGTTGGCAACAAATGCGTTGCTAGAAACCGATCATGATACTGAAAACACAGTAATATGCAATGATGTTATGGTAATGTCTTTTTACTATAATATCATTGGATACAAGAATGAATTTCTTACATTAGGAGACATCTCACTGATCTTTGAATTTGGCGCCAAAATATTATTGCGTTATCTTTTTGTGTGATTTTTTTCACATTTATATTGTCTGTTTTGATTCTGGCCAGAATTTAGTTAATAATAACAAAATTCTGGTCAGAATCAAAATTAAATAATTAAGACATACGAAGGGATCACTCTTAATAAAAGTGGTGAATGCTGCCTCTGGACACCAACAGTACTATTAAAATACAGGTCATGAGTGTAAAGTGCATGCAAAGAAATAGAAAAAAAAATGAAATTGAAAATTAAGCGAATTTATGAGAATGAAAATAAACTTTTATCATTAACTTGAATAAAAACATATCGGTGCGTTCACTTTTATGCAAAAGAAATTTTATTTTTTAAAGTTGAAGCGAGAAATTACAAATCGTTTTATTTAAAAAATTATAATATTGGGGTCATATACACAATTCATAGTAACTACGACTCATTCGTAAATCTTTTTTTTTATTTCAACAAATTTAAATGCATAGTTTGACTAGAGATGAACGCGACTGTATGAGAATCGTATGAAAGGCGCGTGCGTGTGCTAAATTTGAAACATGAATTCGAACCTAACAAAATTCTAGTACCTAGTTAGTTTTAATTTTACATTATTAATACATTTTAAACATTATTTTGAGACATGTGAAATTATTCTGCAGTAAAATACATCAACCGAGGAACACCAGCTAAATTTAACAAGTCATTCGTAAGTACCTAACCTATTTTTTTGTAAATTTTCATTTTTGACATTTCGTAAACAATGCATGACAGTATTGTGGAAAAGTGCGAAAATCTTGTCGCATTGCACGGGTTATTGATTAGCAGAACTGAATGCGGGGTTCTAATGCAGATTAAGATTTGATCAGATGATTTCTAAAACAAATTAACAATACTAATAACTAATTACTAGACAGACCAGAAATAGACTGAGAAAGTTGTAAAAAGTTTTCAAGTCAATTTAACCACCTTTGTGCAAATATTAGATGAATAATGCTAAAACTAACTCGATAATGCTTAATTATGTAAAACTTAATTTTTAAGAAATAATTATCACCTAATCATGAGAGAAAAAGATTGTCCTGTTAATATTAAGTACAACCATAGTAAATTATATTTAAATTAAATATTTTCTTAGTAATAAAATAATGTAGGAAGGTATTAGGAATAAAAATGTTAAAAGTATTAATATAGTAGTAATAACTATGTTAATTATCAGTTTATAACAAATCAATAATGAGTTAATTTCATATGATAAAAAATATGTAGATTATTTCAATAGCAACAAATGGATAAAAAATTTAATTATTCTATCAGGGAAATGGAACTGGACGATTTTGGTGAGCCTACTATTAACATAACAAAAGTGGATATACCGAAAGTACATACAAAATGCAACCACAACCGTCCGCACACAAGGTCTTCTAAGTAGTATCTATTCTATTTCAAATTCTATAACATCTACATTTAAATCTTGAAATCAACCAATTTATTTATCACTTTCTCAATAAATAAAAAGCATACCCGCACATGAAATAAGTTAAAACAAAATAAATTGGCTCAGTTTTTAAAAAAAAAGGATTTAAAAATGGAATGATTTCAAGCTTTTTATTTTATTTTCACACACACGTTAGTGTATGTCAACTTAGAATTTAACATTGAAAATGAAATGCTATGCTTCCAAAATGCAAATCGACCATATTTAGATAAGTCTTGCCTGCTCAGCTTCATGTTTTTTTTTAGTAAGAGTTATCAAAGTTAGGTGATAATAAATTTAGTGTACATTTATTGATGATATTTACTTATTCTTTTCTAAAAATACCATAGTTTCTGATTTGCTTGATTTGGCCACAAATTTTAATTTTATTACTATAATGAGTGGACGAGTTCACGGCCCACCTGATGTTAAGTGGTCACTGGAGCCCATAGACATCAACAACGTGAATGCCGGTACCCACCTTGAGACATGAGTTCTAAGTCTCAGTTTTTAGTACGATAACTGCTCCACCCTTCAGACCGAAACGCATTACTGCTTCTGGGCAGAAATAGGCAGAGTGATGGTACCTACCCATGCGGACTCAGATGAAGTCCTACCAGTAATTACGCAAATTATAATTTTGCGGGTTTCATTTTTATTACACGATGTTATTCCATCACCATGGAAGTCATTCGTGAACATTTGTTAAGTACGTATTTCATCTAAAAAATGAGTGCCCGCCTGCGGGATTCGAACACCGGCACAGTTGCATCGCTAGATACGAATGCACTGAGCGCCTTTTCCCGCAGGCTACGACTACTTCAACTTAGTTTGGCTTGCAAGGCCAAAAGAACATTAAAACCTAAAAACAATTCAAAATCGCAATCTCGAAAAACCCCCACTCCGAGTACTATATTTTTAGTTTTCAATAAAATGGTTAGTGCGCGAGTATAGCGTGTGTTTATATGTATGTGTATACATATATTTCAATCGGTAGGTACACCGCGTGTAATTCGTTTCCAAATGATTCCTGTCCACCTGATGTTTGTCTGGAAGAGATCGCTCTTAGCGATAAGACCGACAATTGTTCTTTTTTTGTATTTATGGTTTTGCATTGCTTATATTTTTTTAGTGTACATACAGTAAAGAATACTCTCTCTCTCTCTCTCTCTAACGCATTTTTTTTTAATAATTCGTGATAAAGGCCCTTTCGTCCCGTTAATCTACTGATTCGTCAATTTCACACGCTCGTTGGAAGATTGTTCCTTTGTCGATATCTTCAGAGCTCTATTGGTTTATACGCTCTCCTGTCCAACACAATCAATAATAATAAATAAAAACGTATCCTTCAAACGCTCGGGATTAGCATCGTCGAGTGGGCCGTTTCTCTCGGCGTGAGATACCTAATAAAGACCTACGTATCGCAACACGAGTGCGTAAATAACTTCTTCGGGGAATGCCGATAGTAATAAAAATACATCCAGCATGTCATTAAAACGCTTTTACGGTATAGTATAGCGTTTATTTGCAGTTTTCGTTGCCACGTAACTAGGACTATAAAATTATCGTTACGCCAAAAAAAAAAATTATATAATTTTTTTCTTACGTAAATGTGTGAACGAGCTTACGGCCCGTAACGTGTTAAGTGTTTACCGGAGCCCATAGACAACAATCTGAATGTCGTTGTCCATCTTGAGAGATGAGGTCGAAGCGTTATCTAGGTAGGTAGGTATTTAGCGGTATGCAGCGGTTTGGCTCTGCCCCTGGCATTGCTGAAGTCCATGGGCAGGGACGTCTTAAATTAGGCTGGGGCCCTTGGGCACACAAGAATTTGAAGCCCTTTTGGAAAGTAAAAAAATATTTTTTTACTCAATATGACCATTTATTATAGGTAATCAAATACAGTATGATATAATATGTCATTAATGATATTAGAATGCTGCTGGTTTTTTGGTTACGGTTACGATAATGGAAACCGTTATCGTGATTGCTAGATGGTGTACTTAGTATTTTATAAATTAGGTAGGATGCGTTCGGAAATATTATTAATTAGTACAGTAGGAATAGGCGCAGTCATCGATATAATGGCGTAGTATATGCCTTGAAAATACCTTCTGATAAGATTACTGATTTGTGAAAAAAGTGTAATGTGCCCGACAAAAATCTTTTGAGAATAAATGTGTGAGAGAAATTGTCGGTCCTTCGGGGCCCTCTGAGAAGGGGGGCCCTGGGCACGGGCCCCGTGTGCCCTTATGGTAAAGACGGTATTGTCCATGGGCGACGGTAACCACTCATCATCTGGTGGGCCGTATGCTCATCTGCCTACAAGGGCAATAAAAAAAAATAAAAAAAATTACAGTGGTTTTTACGGATGTTCCGTTATAACTACTGAACTATGCATCCGATTGACTTGAAACTTGGTATCCATGTAACATGTACTTAATGGATAGGCTAATATTTATATGACTGTTGGACTCCTTACACCAGTTGTGGGGGAGTTAATGATGAGAAACTTTGTGGGGGTGAGAAATAATAATGTTAATTATAAATGCCCAGCGAAGCGGACGGGTACAGCTAGTATGTGTGTTCTCCCACCCATCATAACCGGAGCGCATGTTTGCTTCGCAGCAAAAATAGGCAAGATGATTGTACCTATTCATGCGGACCACAATATGTCTTAATACTAGTGAATACCGCTTAGAAATCCCAGCCGAGTCCGCAGACTGAATAATCTAACTGTTTTTCATCTGTTGCCTTGTAAATAGGTACCTGTACACATAGATGTACATATGTACTAAATTATTATATAGTACAATTCATATTTAATCTTAACCGCATTTTATAAGAATTCAGGTGCACTTGCTAATTTTTTTTTATTGCTCAGAGTGGTGGACTAGCTCACAGATCACCTGGAGCTAAGTGGTTACTAGAGCCCATAGACAACTACAACGTAAATGCGCCACCCACCTTGAGATATAAGTTGTAAGGTCTCACTCAGTATAGTTACAACGGCTGCCCCAGCCTTCAAGCCGAAACGCATTACTGTTTCACGACAGAAATAGGCTGGGAGGTGGTACCTACCCGTGCATACTCACAAGAGGTCTTACCACCAGTAATTGCAAAAATTATAATTTCGCGGGTTTGATTTTCATTACACTATGTTATTCCTTCACCATGGAAGTCAATAGTGAACATTTGTTAAGTACGTATTTCATTAGAAAAATTGGTACCCGCCTCCTGCGGGATTCGAACACCAGCGCATCGCTACACACGAGCGCACCGGCCGTCTTATCCTTTAGGCCACGACGAGTTATATTAT